GAAATAAAAAAAACTATTTATTAATATAACCAAATAATAACAGATTTATAGACAGACTTTATTCAAGAAGCAAAAAAGTTTATTCTTCAAAGCAAAATCACTGACAAACAGATAATAAACCTTCTAACTCTTAACAAATACTAGTATGAGTTCTATACAGCAGTTAAACAATCAGCAGCAAAAACATACTTACTATAACAACTTTATCTAAAACTTTTTTTGCATTCTCTATAAAAGCTACCGCACTATATTATATTCTCAAAGTAATTAATAAACTAATTAAAAACTTTAGCAACAATACAAATACAAACTACAACATATAGCTAATAAACTCTAATATTCAACTAATAAACAAACATAGCAAGATACTAATCAGTCTAATTACAGACACAGGTCTTACAAACAATAACATCAATACAACAATAAACAAACTCAAAACAATATAGAAAATAATCTACTATGCAAGAAAAATTGAAAACAATATTGCATATGCATAAATGATAAATCAACATATTGAAAACTAAAATAAAAACTTCACAACTAGCATATCTAAAATATTCAACAGCATACTCAAAAGACATATTAACCTAGTAATTTTCTATAATATACAGATACTCACTTATATTATAACAGATCTACAAAACCACTACAAAACCTAAATCAAACTAAACCCTACAGACAATAACCAATAGAATATATAACAACAGAAGTACAATCCAATATTTAAGATACAAGCTTCTTAATATGAAAACCTCACTAGCATAATTACTATAGAAGAACTTAATATAGCTATAAAAAAAACCTAACAACAAAGCAACAGGCTCACAAAACATATCAAATAAAATATTAAAATATTTTGACTCTACAATACTATTACTGCTACTTAGCATCTTCAATGCCTGCTTAAAATTACAACAAGTTCTGGTATTATAAAAATATAGCAGAATATACTCAATCTCTAAAAACAAATATTTACAGAATACTTAGAACATACTAAACCTATCACTCTTATAGAATATTCTAGAAAGATCTTTACAACAATAATATAAATAAACTTAACAAAATTCTGTTCTAATATCTAATTCTAAATAACAAAAATTATATAGCACTTCTCTATATATCTACAACATTATCTATTATCACTCTAATACATATAATCGAAGAGACTAATATATACTCAAAGGAACTATAGGTCCTATCTATACATGCTACTGAAATAAGTTTTCAAAAAAACTCTATTTCATCTCTATTAGAATAATTTAAAATTTTTTATATGCAAGAGCAAATCTAATTTAGGTAGTTATATTTTTTATAATTTCATCTCTTCAAAAAAAATATCAAAAAATATCATCTTTTAAGTAAAACAGATCAAAAACAATTTCATCTTCAAATTTTAATTTCATATCTCAAAATCTAAAATAATTTCATCAGTGTGTATAGTCCTATTACAATATATGTCTAAGACATATAATTTAGTGCATATATCACTACTTAAAAAAGCTTTACTTAGAATTAAACTACCCAACCCCATCATAAACCTCATCATAGACATATTTACTAACAGATACAATATTATAATAACCAACTAGAGTACTATAGAACTTACCCAGTTTATAACGAGATAGATCAAGAAGAGACAATAACACCTCTACTCTGGTAGATGTATTATGACTCTTTACTAACCAAAGTTATAAGAGAATATACAAAATACACTAGACTACTTGTTGATAAATTATTTAAATATATATAAATATTAATTAAATGCAATTATCTTATAATCTAGTAATCAAAGCTTAGCGATTTTGGTACCATTTGATCTGTATCAATGAAATAGATCGAATAGTACCAAAATTGCTAAGTTTTGATTACTGAATTATAAGATATTGTGAAATTTGTTAAAATTTTTTAGGATCAAAGATCTTTGCAGATTTGCACTATATTTATTCTTCCAATACCACTATATATCAAACACCAAATATTCTAACAGAATTTCATATATACTTAAAATTAAATAATCTAAGTTTACAGATTGGTAAAGAGTTCAAATCCAAAAAACTTCAAATAAAATACTTACAAAAAATATGTCTAAAATATAAGTTATTATTTGAACTAAATTTGTTATTTAATTATTTAAATTTGTAATTATTATAACTTTAACTCTTATTATTAAATAATACAAAGTCTAGAAGTTATTCTTTGTCATAAAATGATTAAAAGTATAAAATTTAAAAATAAAGATATTTTTATAGATATATCTTTTGTTATTTCAAATATTTATCAATTAGAAGTTTTAAATATACTATAATTATATAATTTTATTAGATATTTTGTAAAAAAAATTTTGTTTAATATTTGTATATACAGTTTGCTCTTCATACAATTACTCTCATATAGTCACAAACTTTTATACTAGCTTAAGAAATTTAATCTCTATCTAAATATAATTCTTTATAAGTATAAAATTTCTTGAAACTAAGGGTATAACTATAAAGAGGTTAGACTGTATTTATTTTCTGGTGTTGAAATTAAAATTTAATATGATATTTATAATAGTTATTTCAAGAAGCTAATGCTAAAATTACAGGTCTAAAGTTTTTTAATACTAGAGATTTATTATATAAAATATCTTTTTTGATATATGCAGTTTATACTATTAATACAAAGATACAAATCATTTTTTTAATCAAAACTAATAGTTTTTTTATTCTAACTTAAGTATTTTTAACTTAAAAAAAATAGTGTGATTATAATAAACTAACAGAAGTGAATAATATTGAAAATGATTATAAAATATTTTTGAAGTCTATAAAAGAAATAGAGAAAGAACTTTTGGATAAGATAAGCAAAGATAAAAGAATTTTTGATAATCTAGTCAAAAGTATTGCACTAAATATTTTTGGTAATAAATTTATATTATCGATTTATTTAGTTTATATGAATCAATTGGTATATCAGTAATTGATTTACCTGTTTTACATGAAATAATAATAAAGGAATATTACTGGAGGTTTTACAAAAAAACCATAGAGAGTATGAATATTAGAGAGGGTATTAATGTTTGTATAGTTGAAGATCCTAGTATTAGCAAGAGTCAGTTTCTTAAGTAATTATACATATTTACTACATTCGATTTTTTATTTATATGGTCAAATTTGTAACTTTTATTATTAAAATTATGTAGATATGCATGTCAGATACATTCTCATACCATATTTACTTTCAGAAAAGTCTCATCTGACCATAGCTGTTGTTAAAGACGAAGAGTCAGGTGATTTTACCATAGAAGTGGGTGCTTTAATGCTAGCAGATAACATAAGTAATATAATATTTCATTGATTGTATTAACTATATCACATAAATAATTATATGCATTTTCATTCAATTAGGGAATCTGCGCTATTGATGAATTTGATAAAATGGATATTTCTGATCAAATTGCCATCATGAAGCTATGGAATAGTAGACAATCTCTATCGCAAAAGCTGGAATTTATATGACATTGCATGCTCAAACTTCAATTTTAGCAGCAGCAAATCTGAATGGTGGTCGATATAATAAAGACTATCACTCAGAGTAATGTGCAAATTTGATATTTTTTAAAGCTAATTTTTTTATTTTATTAGCGAAATATTTTGATAGCAGTATCAATCATGTCCCATCCCATGGTTTAACCATGGGTAACCTGTAGGTCACTCATAGGGAGATGACATTGGTAATAAATATGCTTCACAAAACTATACACGCGGATATATAGAGACCCCAATAGCATGCGTTGTTAGAATGTACCATATCATAATTAATCAAAACTAAATCTACAAATTCTCAAAATCATTAAGTGCGGATTTTTGATATCAAATATTTACTAGTACACAGATTTAGTAATTCGATTGGTTAGTAATTATTAGATTCTAAATTTTGCCTATTCTTTCTAGTAAAAAAAAAATAGAGATATAAATTTACTTATCTGTTATTTATAGCTCGATATTTTTTTAATTATTATAATAATAGTATAGGAACAAAACTACAGAAAAAATTTATCTAACAAATCAAAACTTCAAATTAAATATTTTTATATCAATTGACATGACCATTTTACAAAATTTATTGACTGATCTCTCATAGTTTTTGATTAATTATAATATGTTACATCTAATGTATTGTTAAGATTAACTAGAATGATTTATTCTGAGAGGATCTGAGTTCATATATTTCTTTGCCAATTCGACATAATAGCCAGGAGTTTCAGTTTAAATTTATAGCCAGATATTTCTGCTATAATAATACCAAACCAACATAAAGATTTTCTGCTTGTGTAAACACTGTTTGCCGAATAAAACTTCAAGAGCAACATAGATATGATTCTATTAATCTTGCCGAGTGCATCTATTTGCGCAATGGGTTACATAATATTCGTTGATGTTCTAAGCACGTTCAACCAATCAGAATTAATCACTGGTCAACATACGTAAACAATTTTTAAAACTTTGAAAAGTTTTCTTAATAACTACCTGGCAAAATTCTATAAAACTTTTTTTATTTTAATTCTACACATTCATACAATTAAGATAAAAAAACTTTTATCAAATTTTGTCTGATGGTTATTGAGAAAAGTTTAGAAACAGTAAATTAAGTGTTTTTGAATTTTTTTTTAAACTTTGACCAAAATTTTCTCACTATCTGACTAAATTCGATAAGTATTTTTTTATTTTGTTCTATAAATTCATAGAATTAAAACAAAAAAAAACATTGAATTTGGGCAAGTGCTATCAAGAAAACTTCGCTCAAAGAAATAACTTGTTCTGTCTATCTGAAGTTTTCTCGACAATTACCTGACTAAATTTGATGATTTTTTATTTATTTTAATTCTATGAATGTGTAGAAATTAAAATAAAAACAATTCATCGAATTTGGTTAGGTAGTATCGAAATATTTTGCTTAAAGTTTAGAAAGAATTTGTCCCTTCTATTAGTAAGCTAATTTTTCTTTAAATTTTGAGAGAAGTATTCTCGATAATTTTCTAATCAGATTACAAGATTTTTTTTTTATTTTATTTCTATACATTATATAATTTTATTGAATTTTGTCAGATAGTGCCAAGAAAACTTGCTTAAAGTTTAGAAGAAATCTGTCCCGCCTATTAGACGAAGGTTAATTTTTCGTTTTGCACTACCTGCTGACCCAAACTCGAATTTTTCTTAAACAAAAATAATAATATTTTATTTGAATCATTTTAATGAATTAATTCAAAAAAATCATATAGTATGTAAAATTTGTAATTTATTTAATGCATTATTATCTGATGTTGAAATTTGAACTTATTTGTTTAGAGTTAAGTTAGAAGTAAGGTTAAAGTTCATAATAAAAGAGTATAAGAGTAAATGTGGATTTTAATAGGGTTCATATGTTCAAATCAAGACACCAAATTTTAGCATCATCCATCTCAGTATTATCGTCATTTATTATTACATTAACACAGTTAAACAATCCTTTCATATTGTTAACTATTTTAAACACAAAAAGCTCTATTTTTCATCATTCATATTAAAATCTAATGGTTCTATTTTGTGTAATCGTGTTTATGTGAAAATTGCACTTGAACATCAATAATTACATAATAATGCCTAATATTACAGTGATCGCAAAGAAGATCCGGAAAAATAATACGCAATAATTTTTTTCCGTATTTAAGAATGACTAAATTATTCTTCATTTTTGTTTAAACGAATGCTATAAATAACAAGATTGTCAAAATATTATCACACGATGGGCGATCATTCGCAAAGAATGTATGGAGTGAACAATTATTTCCAGATCTATTTTTTTGAATGTTATCAGTTACACCGCTCTAAAAAATCAAGTTTCTGTCCCATAATGTAGATCGTTTTTGCTTGTTTGATTAACAACAATGGGCCCCATTACACTGCTCTAAAAATCATGTTTCTGTCCTATAATGTAGATCATTTTTGCTTGTTTGATCAATGGGCTTTATACAGTTATATAGGGATGTAACAGTCCAGCTGGTCCAGCCTGGTCTATTTTGGTTTAGGTCTGGTCTATTATGGTCTTTATTCTTAAGACTTTGTTATTCCAGACCAGTTCAGACTGGTCCAGTCTTAAGACTTAAAGCAGACCAATTTTTTTCGAGTTCAAACTGGTCTTAAGCTAACTGTAGTCCATTAGTCTAAGACCAGACCACATAACATTGGGGTTCTACGTCAACCATGTAAATCAAAATTATTTGTGGTCCTATAATAAATTTTATTATTGAAGATTTAAATTTGATCTCATCGTTTCAAAAGTATACCATATAAATTAAATATAAAAATAGCCAAAACTTCTTTTAGATGCGCAGATCGAATTTCTTTCTCTTTCAAAGTTTTCTAAAAACTAATCGTTTCTTACAC